TGCTGGGCAGGACAGGCATACCACCCCAGCAAGGCATGATGGGCAACAGCATGCACCAGGGCATGATGTCTCCACAGCAGAGCCTGATGGCCCAGCAGAATTTCATGCTGATGCAGGCCAAGCAGAGGAGCATGTCTGTGTCAGGGGAGATGTATGCCCAGACAGGACATATGATGTCACCTCAGGGCTCTCTCATGGGGCCCCCGCCTCAGCAGAACCTCATGGTCACGCACCAGATGAGGCAGAGGAGTGTCTCCCTGGACAGCCAGATGAGTTACATCCCCGGGCCTGGGAACATGGCGAACTTGCCTTTCTAACCCCGGCTGGCTCTCAGGGCTGGGGAGGGGACTGGGCTGCATCTACAAACATTTTTAAACCTTTCTGCAGGGGAGGGTTGGGGGCCAATGTCAGTGGAGGACACCACGTGGGATGCTTTTCATATTGGATTCGCCTCTACACAGAAAACCATATGTGCAGTAAACTTGATGTGAATTGGGTTTCTTTTTCCTTTCTTTTTTGGGGAAGGGGAGGGTGGAGGGTCTGGGAATGGGGCTGTTACTTTGAACCCTGAGTGGAGACTAGGGACATCCAGACCCTGTGTCAGTTTGTAAAGTTTTCACTTACAGTTTTCCTCTGTCAAGTGTTTTTCTTTCCCTTTTTTTCCTCTCTTTTTCCTTTTTTTTTTTTTTCTTTTTTTTCCTTCCTTTTTAAGCAACCAAAATGTGCAAGAGGGTTTTTGGAACTAGCTGTAAATAGGTCGCTGGGAAAGGCGAAACTTGTGCTGGTTTTTAATTGTTCTGTATTTCTGTGTTTTAATAGAAGCCTCAAAACATGTTTTAAAAAACAGAAACAGAAAAAACATGCTAAAGGCAACAGTGTACAAGGATTGAAGACTCTCCTTGAGGGCGGGAGGGAGGAGGATCCCCAGGGTGCACAGGATGTTGAGAGATCCCATTACAGAGTGACTCTGTGTCAGACCTGTGTTGTTCATGCATCTAGATGGTTTGCATGGGCGAGGGGGGCAGGGGATGTGGTGTCATGCAGATCTCAGGCCCCTGTGGATGCTCTGCTGAGTACACAAACACAACCACCACCAAGAGCTGTGGCCCTGGTGAAACGCTGCTGATGCTCATCTGGCAGGACAGAGGCCACAGCTTCGTGGGATGCAGCTGTTGCTGCTCTGTGGAGAAGCTGCTGTGGCAGCTGGGGATGCTGGGGAGCATTCTCCCTTCAGCTGGAGAAGTGGTGAGGATTGGGCTTCGCAGATGATAACGTGCTGGACCCAAAGGTCTTGACCAACCCTGTCACCTCTACTCCCTTCTCTTCCCTTCCTACTGTGTCCCCCGGTGGCAGGTGTTACGGTGTGTAGGGACCGATGGGTGATGCATTTCGGTGCTTCCAGGAGAGGCTAGCTAGGAACCCTGCTCTTCTGCAGCCTTCCTACACCAGTCCATGACCCATACATCACCGTCTGCCATTGTCCTGCGCCCCCTCTCCTGTTGAATGCTCTCCCAGGTCTTCCTCATGCTTGTTGGTCCTTCTCCTCCAGAGTTTCGCAGGCAGTCTTTGTTCCATCTCGCCCTGAGCTACTGGCAGCAGCCCTGCCCTGTGGCACAGGAAAGGTCCAGCTGTTGAAGAGGACCTGTCCCTGCGTGCAATACTCCACTTTAGTGTAAGTCTTGTTTGGTGTCAGTGGCGTGGCCATTCTGTGTTTCAGACAGAAGAGGCTGAAGTTGCATTGCAATCCCTCATTCCCAAGCTGGCAGAAGTGTGCCATTTGGACAACTCTGGCTTTTCTGGATGCGCTCCATCCTCCCCATTCTGCACTCCATAAGGTCTTCCTGCACACGGTCCTGATGGTCTGTCCTGTGTTTGTTCACGGAGGGGAATGTGGGGTGATGTGCGCACACTTCTGCACTCATGGCAGTGTCTCTGGACCTCTGCAGGGACCCCATTCCAGCATCCAGCGGTGAACTTGGGGCACACAGCTGCCGGGGGAACACCGCTTGGAGGATTATCTCTGCAGAGCCAGACTTAGCACACTCTCTTATAACAGAGCTCACCTTTCCCAGCTTGGTACTGCAGGGAGGAGAGGGCTTTGGAAAGGGAGATTGTCAAGTAGCGAGTGAACAGCAACACTTTTCACCATCTTGCAAGCTGTTTGGACAGGCTGGTGGGTGCTGAAACGTCAGCCCAGCAGCTCTCTTGATCTAGTCTGTGAGAAGATGGAGTCACAAAGTCCAGTTAGGAATACCTTGAAGCTTTGGGGCATTGTGTAGCGAGCAGTACTGGGTAAGAAGCATGGGTCTGGATTTGAGGAAGACTCTTGCTTTGGTCTCCTGCTTTGTAGGGGTTTGTTGTGTATGATGTGAGCAAGTAGCGGTTTTTGAGGTGATAAAACAGGCAGTGGTCATCCCTGCCTTTGCAGTTGGAGCAGAGGAATAATCTTCAGCTCAGGCTTTGGACCTGACCATGTTAGCTGGTTGGATTCTCCATCCTTTCAGTGTGTTCACATGGGAGGATGTGGCTCAAACAGATGTAGCTCTTTCTAAGCTTGACTTGCCTGAAAGGCTGTGGCTTCTCTTGGCTGCACTTTGGGGTGTGCTGCTGGTAGTTTCTCGTAAACATCCAAATACCAATTACAGCCTCAAACCTTGCTCATTACCCACCAGCTAGTCTTGGCTAATTTGAAGCCATAACATTTTCTATATGGAAGTTTTTTGTTTGTCTGTAGACAGCTGTTGTTTTAGCCCGTTTGAGATCTCCACGTGTTCGTACCTTCCCTGTTGTCCTTTTTGCCCAGCCTGACACAGAAGTTGCTTGGGGCTTGCAGTCCTGTCTTTGTGGGCAGCGTGTTGTCCCTGCTCAGCCGGAGCCCCCAGGCTGCAAGGCTGTGCAGGACTCAGGAGGCTGGTGCTGGCTGGTCGTGGGGATGGGGCAGTGCAGTGCTATTTCTGCCTGGCAACAGAAGGAACACCTGTCCTTCGGTGACAAATAAGAAGCAAAGCCTTTTGACTCAGCAGCCCTGGATACAAAAGGGAAATCCCAATACTAGGTCAGAGCTGAGGATTCTAGAGTAGCAGTCGATGCTCTTCTGCAAAATTGCACTGCTCTAGAGCCAGCCCTATCCCTACCACTGAGAGGGCTGAACAACGGGGAGAAGAAGTGCTGCCTAACACCCTTCTGCCCTGGGCACCACTCCCAACCATGTCTGTGAACAGCAGTGTGGCAGGAGTTCCTCTGGAGGCTCAGTGACAGCCAGTCTGTGTTAGACCTGGGCAAGGTTTGCCATCAGCTGGTTGCCTGCTGCCGTGACCTGTGTCTAGTCTTGTGTCTTGTAGTTTATTGCTCGGCTTCTCAGCTTGAGTTCTGTGTACTGACTCCACCTAATCACAGTAGGTTTGCCCATCTCTTAGCCATGACTTCGCCATGTTTTTCCGGCTCCAAAAAAGCATATGCTGGGAAACCGCATCTTTCAGTACGTCGGATAATCACGCACCCGGAATTAGCTTTCACGTTGAGGTAAAGGTGACTGACCTGTTCTCTGTCATCCCATGGAGAAATTCCCCAGTCATTTTGTACCATTATATAAATATATATATATAAATATAAATATATAAATACAATATGTGAAGACATCTTATTGGTTTTTATTTGAAACAATTTTTAGGCTTGTTTTTGGGTATCTGTGCTGCCTGTAATGTATTGACCTGTTTTATAGGTGCCTTTTTATTAAAAAGACAAATTTCAAAACCTGACCTTGTGCCTGTCTTTTTCCACGTGATTTTCCATGGGACTGCAGTGGGGACAAGAGGGTGCAAGAGCTGCTGGGAGGGTTGCGTGGGCATCGGGGGAGCCCTTTCTCTGCAGCGCTCCCAGGCACGTGTTCATTCATGCGTTGCTGGCTCGTGCTCACGAATGCACGCTCCGCTGCCTGCCACAGCCCTGCGATCATCGCGCGCGTGTAGCAGGATGCTCTGCTGAAACACCCCAGCTCTGCCGAAACACCCCAGCTCTGCCTCCTGGGAGACTTGGTTGCCCTGCAGGAAATGCAGAGCAGTGTGCTGTTGTGAGTCTTTGTGTCCTTGTCTTTGGGGTTGCCTTCAGCAGAGACCAAGGCTTTCTCTGGGTTGTCTGCTGGAGCCTTGTTTGCAGAGCATGGTCCAGGGCTGGGGGTGCAGAGTGTGTGCTGTGGATGGTGGTGAGATTGCCTTCCCACACGCCACTTCCCCACTCCCTGCAAGAGCCACCTTGGAGCTCCCCTGGGCTCAATGCCTCTTCCTGGTGGCCTGGGTGGGCAGAGTACGTCTGCCTCACTTGGTAGCAGTGGAATAGGGGCTGAGCTGAGCTCCACAGGGGAGCCTGAAGGTTTGTGTGCCTGAGGGCTGTGGTGTCTGGGGGTGGCTCTGGTGGCAGGGAAGCCTGCTCTGGGCCATGTGACAGCCATGCAAACCTTGAGGAGGCAGCGAGGGTTTCATTGAGTGAAAAGCCCAGCTTCCTCTGTGGTGAAGGAAAGTTCCTCTTGCTTTCTTGTCACCATTCGGCAGGTTGGCTGCAGGCAGCTGTGGGAGGAGCAACAGCTGCTCTTTGGGGAAGGGTCTGCCAGCTCTGAGCCAAGCCATTCCCAGGCTGGCTGAGCCAAATGTGGGTGCAAGGGCAGCTTTCCACTTGGGTTAGCAGCTGCTGTAAAACTGGGGCAGCAGGTGCTCCAGTTGGTGGAAGAGGCTCTGGAAAGCAAACGGCTAATGTAGATCTGGACTGACTCTGAACACAGCAGGGCATTCTGTGGCACCAGTGAAGGGGAATCTGAACAGGGTGGTCTTGTGAGCCCTGTGGTCCCCATGTGGGAACAGCAGTGCTTGTCAGAAAGGTGAGGTCTGCCCACTCAGTGCTCTCTGATGCATTTCCCTCGAGAAAGTGACATGACTGCAGACAACTGCTTACAAGCACTATCCATGAGAAGGTGTTTCCTTCAATTGTTTATTACAGCTTACATCAAACATTTCTAAAGGTTTGTACATACCAGTACTAAAAACTATAGTAACAATAGATGTGTAATCAATCTGTTCACTCTTCCTTTGTGTGCAGATTTTCTTTTTACTTTGTGACCACTGTAAGAATTTTAAACTCTGACTGTTCATTTCTTCAGTAACAGTTTTATGTATGTAGAAACACAGTTTCATCAGAACCTGCTGGGGAGGTGTTTACAATGCATCTGCAATGGGTCTGCTCACTGGTACAACCATGGAGAACACGAGAACAGGCTAAAGAGAGCTGCTCTTCCTCTGCTGCATGTACATGCTCGAACAATTACAGTCACCATTATTTGCAGGTTTCATCTTTGAAGATGCAGCAATGCAGGAAATGATGGACTGCCTTATACTTGGTGAGTTTTCTCCTGAAGTCACAATTTGAGAACGAGCTATTGAGATCTCTACCTGAGCCAGACTGAGGTAACGTAACCCCTTCCATAATGCCTGGTCTTTTTAGAAGGGCCCTTGGGTATAGTGAAGTTCAGCTGCAGTTCAGGGGAAGATCACCACCCAGGTTTTTCTCTATACACCTGGATGCACTTAATCTCTGAAAGCCCTGTTGATGCAGGTGGAGGAAAAATATCAGAAAGCACAGTGCAAAGCAAAATGCTGCATTTCCTCTCGCCTCGCTAAAAACAAAGAGAAATTATGCAAACGAGCTCTTTTCCTTACTTTGGGGCAGTGGGTCTCCTTGCTCTCAGAACCCACAAATTGCCGTACAGTAAGCTGAAAGAAAAAGTTACACCTTCAGACTTACAAAGCGGTGTGGTTTCTGTCCCCTGTGTAGAGTCACAAGACAGAAGCCATCTCTTCAAATGGTGTTTTTCCTTAAAGGAAAACTTTTGCATAGTCAGGCATTCAGTCCAGCAGCCATTCACAGAAGATCTTAACAGCAGTAAAACAGATCAAATGAGTGGGGAAAGATGCAACTGGTGTCAGGAAAGGAGTCTGTGACAGTCAAATCTGTTAGTCTGTGGGAGGACCTGCTGGCATGAGCTGTGTCGGGCAGGTGAATGTGTCATGGCTGGCTGGGGGGGATGTCATGCAGCAGGAGGACAATGTTGCAGTCAGAGAGTGTTCAGCACTGTATGCCCATGCTATGCGATTGAGCTCTACAGCCCCCATCAGTCCTACCTGCATCTGTCTTTCCAGTTGCTGTGGCCAATGAGTCCTGCTGCTTCCTTTGGGTACGTCTGTACCAACCTGAGCTAATGAAATGGAAACTTGCTTAGCTTAGTTAGCTGCACTTTTTTCCTTGCCCCTGGCACCCCAGTCTTGTGCCTGGCTTCATGCACAGGATGCCTGCAGTCACCGTTTTGAGGGAGAGGTGGGAGTGTCAGTTCAACCCACTTGGGTTCATCCAGCCCCATGAGAGTGACCACTGGACAGCCAGCATTCACCAACAGCTGCCAGGCAGATCTCTACAGGTACAAGAACCAGGAGGAGCCAGGCAAGGTATCTGATGGGATTCGGGTGTTCGGTGGCTATTGGACCTGTTTCCTGAGGAGCAAAGAAAAGTGGTGGGGATGCTTGTGAAACTTGTAACTGAGACCACAGCAAGTACGCCACTAGGAAGGAAAGCCCTAGGCCAGTTCTGTCCTGCAGGCAGCCTTTTCCAGCTAGAAGGTGGAGATGGAGGTGGTGTTGTCGGAATCAATCCCACTACCCTTCCTTGTCACCTCCAGGATCTCCTGCAGGGTCTCCTGGCTTATGCAGCCAAGCTCCTGCAGGATCCGGAAGAAGTCATTACGGAACTTGACTCCAATGAAGGCGTAGAGGATGGGGTTGAGGCAGCAGTGTGTGAAGCCAATGGCCTCTGTCACCATGATGGCTGTGTCCAGCTGGTCTTCCAGGAGGCAGTTCTTGGTGAAGGCTTCTAGCTTGGTAAGTGTGTTCAGGAAGATGACGATGTGGTACGGGCTCCAGCAGAGCAGGAAGATTCCTGTCACCAGGATGGCCACACGGACAGCTTTCTGCCTCTGCAGGCGCTGGGACTGACAGAGCACCCGGACAATGGCCATGTAGCAGTAACACATGACCAGCAGGGGCACAAAGAAGCCCACAGTGTGGTAGAGGAAGCGAGTTGCCAGCCAGGCATTGTTGCCATCGATCCCAACCTCTGGAAAATAGCAAATGCTGCGGTTGCTGTCGTCTGTCCAGACTTCCATGAAGATGAGATCGGGTAAAGTCAGAAGCAGTGAGCAGAGCCAGACAGCCGTGCAGGTGAGATGGATGGAATGAGCTCTGCGTTTGCGGTAGGTGTGGATTGCATAGACGATGGCCAGGTAACGGTCCACCGCGATGCACCCCAGCAGCATGCTACTGCAGTAGAAATTGATCTTGTGGACAGCACTGAGTATCTTGCAGAGGAACTTCCCAAATACCCACCCAGCCAAGCTCTCTACCACGCTGAACGGGAAGGTAAGCAACAGTGCCAGGTTGGCCAGGGTGAGATGGAAAAGGAAGTTTTCCGTGGTGGTGCGAGACCGCTTGAACCTCTCTAAAATGACCAGGACCAGAGCATTGCCTACAGTCCCCAACATGAACATCAGCAGATAGATGAGGGGCATGAAGACCTTTCTGAAGGGGTCTCTCTGGTTGCCAACCACTGATGAGGCTGGGTTGAAGCAAAAGTAGCCCTCCAAAGAAGGGGTGGTGTTCTCAGCTTCGTAGTACCCACTCAGTTCCACCTGGCTCTGGAGAATAAGAGAGTATCATTAACAGAGGGGAGTTTCTGGACACAAGAACCCAGTCCCTCAGCTGCACCTGGAGAGCTAGAGTGGAGCATCCCCACGTCCTGCAGCCCACCTGCATCAGGAGCAGGTGCTGCCTGTCTGCAGTGTGATGACCTTGGAGGTCCTCCCAGTGCCAGGAGGTGCAGCACCCTGTGGAGAGGGTTGTCTCCATCTCTGACAGCAAGAGCTGCTCAGGATCTAATCTCTAACTAGCATATTTGGTGATGTTCTGGTATCCAGTCAAATGACCAGTTTCATCATCTGGTTCTTGCTAGTTTACCTGCTGGTGGCTCTTGCTTCCTCACACAGCATGGAACACTCCTCTACCAGCTTTCCTGATGTTTTCTACCCATTTCTGATACGGACTGCCCCTGTCCTGCCTGCTGCCAGGTACAAAGGTGGTGGGATTGCACTGACCACCTTCTCCTCAGAGGCCTGGGAGCTGCCTGGGGCAGAGCAAGGTAAGGGGCAAGAGCAAGCAGCAGCTGTCCTTGAGATTGCTTTCCACACGCTCAGAGAAAGGTGTGGGGCAGGCGTTCAGCATGGCTGGAGGAAAGCCTCTGAGGCACTGTGGTGCCATAGCTAGAGGAATGGATGCTGCAGAGAGAAATCTGTTCTGTTGGTAAACCTTGCAGTTCTGAATTAATTGCAGTCAGAGCAGGAAACACGATTGAAAACACCACCCGGACCGTAGGCTGATACCCAGTAAGGAAAGTGCAATAGAGCTGCCACAAACGTGATTCGCTCTTGGCCTGCTGGATCTTCTTGCCAGGTGAGCAGCATGTACTGGGGCTGAGGCTGTGGGCAAGTATCAAGTGCTGGGAAGCTGGAATTGCACTCAGGATGAACTTCCTGGACAGTGGGCACACTCCAGCTGGCCTTGGGCACCTTGCAGAAGTTGGGTGTTCACAAAAGCAAAGGGCTGGGATGAGCACAAAAAGAGAGCAGTGCAGGAGGCTTGTGGCAAGCTGAAAAATTAGTGACAAGTGGGAAGAGCTCAGCAGCAGTCACCCTGAGGTCCCCCACCCACACCCTCTCCAGAGACTTGTGCTGAGACTTCAGTGTCAACCACAGCGGAAGTCTCTGCTTGCTGCTTTCATACCTTTCACTGCCAGCTGCAGCCGTTTGCACCTGCTGCTCCTTCCCTCCTCTGCCAAAGTTCCCGTCTAAAAATACCAGCCCAGCTTTATACAGTTTTAGAGTTGATTTTGGGGGTTTTTGCTCACCCAATGTGCTACTAAGCCAAATGAGTGTGACCAGCCTGGAGTCCTGCATTGTTCCTGGCTAGGGAAGGGTAATTTATGTTTCTTCTCTCTCAGGCAGCCTTCCCTGGGCAATGCACTGGGTGCCTCCGCACGTGACTGGGGTAAAGAGGCAGTGGCAGGGCTCGTCTGAACTGCTCTACTCTGCTGCTGAAACCATTTGCATGGCTCCAGGAGGGGCCAGGCACACTGATGGGGCAGAAGTCTATGGAGCATTACTGAACACGTAGAGCAGACAGCTGGCTCAGGGGGTCCCCCAGCAGTGGATGGTAGGGGGGCAAACAAGCCCTTGGGAAAAGTGCAGAATAGCCTTGCCCAGCTCTTGCCCTCTTCCCTGGGCCTCTGCCTTTGGCTACTGCCAGAAAGAGTGCTGAGCCAGACTTTGCTCTGACCAAAGTTACTCTTGGTCTTGCCACCATCCCGTTCTCCACCAACTCTGCATCCAGGGGTGCTGTGGCTGTGCTCTGATGCCATGGTGCTTCCTCCTGAATGGGTGAGAGCCAGTCCCCTCGGGGGCTGGGTAGGAATCCCCCCTACCCAAAACCTCAAACACACACCTGTCTTCCCCTAATGTGATGATGGGGCTGCAAACCTTTGGTGAAAAGAATTTTGTATTCCCAAAGAACATTTATTTTTCTGGTTAAGGATATGATTTTGGAAACTGGAGATAGCTGCTAAAGACAAAAGCCTTTAGAAATCCCTCCCAGTTATTTTTCTCCCTGGCTTGAAAACATTTCCTAGTCTGTACCCAGACCTTTTGTCAACCCAGACCTTTTGGAATTACCAACACACATAGAAACCTGCAATGTGTTGTCCAGTGCCAGATCCTTGAATCTCTTTGAGAAAAACAAGACCAACCCAAAAACCTTTGCAATTTAGTGGACTGACCAAACCAGACTGCTCAGGCTGTGCAGGTGACCGTGTGGAAAACCCCAAACAAATTATATGTTGGAATGGGAAATTTCACTGGGGAGAGGTTGGAGGATTTCACCTTTGAAGGAAAAAAAGGAAAGGATGGGAAATGTCTGGGTTTGCTGGCTGGAGTGTCAGTCCTACCTTTGAGCCATGCCAGCACCATTGATGCTGATGGGTAGACAGCCTGGGTGGTGTTCAGTGGCTTTGGCCACTGACCAGCTTCCAGCATCACCTTGTATTTGGAGCCAGAGGTGCAGAGGCTGAGTGCCACTATCAGACACCATCTGATTGCTGATGGGGAGCAGGTAGGGAGGGCTCTTACTGTAAAGCCACTTGCTGTGGGCAGGGGAAGCATGTGCGGAGCTGAGTCTGAGGCATCCTTTCATGCATCTCCGAGCAGAGCAGCATGTGTGGGTGGAAGCAGACAGAGATGAGTTGGAGACGAGGATGAAAAGTCACAGTCCAGGCTGAGACAGGAAGGACAGGGACCAGAGCTGCAGGAGATGCACTGAATGTGCCAAGGAAAGGATTCTGGGGACTCTGCTGTGATTCCCATTTCTAGGACTGGAAGCAGGTGGCTGCCTGATCTGGGATGGGATAAGTCAACAGTGTGTATGCAGAGGGACCTTTGAACAGGTCTCCTGCAAGACAATTGCAGCCAGATTTGGGGGTGGGAGAAAAAGTGGTGTCTCTTTCTGTAACAACTGCATACCTGGGAAGGCTGTTCCTGTGTGCTTTTTGTTCAGGGATCCCTCTACCCCTGACCCACATTCAGATTTATTCTGGTCTCCGCGTGGCAGCTGCTTTTCTCAGTTCCCCACAACTGTCAGTGATCAAAACATTTGGCTGCAGAAGTGAAGCAGCTTGTGCACTATTATGGGTTTTCCATGTGAGTCATTCCCTTCTAGTCCATGCCAGGGCTGGGAGCAGCACATTTTATTCCCAAAACCTTAAAACTGAAATAGCCCACATCAATGCAATTTACTGACAGAGCTTCTGCTCATAACTTCTCTGGGTGCTGAACCAAGGAAAGCTAGGAATAAGACCAAAGCCTGTGGAAATGCCACATTACTGTAGTGCAGGTGCCTTTATGCTCTTGAGTCATATTGGTCCCATTACAATGAAAAGTGGCCTGCAGCACCTCAAGGGACCTGGTGGAGATCTCAATGGTTCTTCTGCACCTGTGATTTTGGTTGTCTAGGCTGCAGTTGAGGAAGGTTAAGCAAGCAAAGCATTTTTGCTATGGAGAAAGGAGGTTATCATTTTGGGCACGTTACTTTTCCACAAGGTAACAGTCGATTAGTCTTGTATGGTATCAAAATTTAGATGAGGCCCTCACCATACTCACTGTGCGATACTCACTGTGAGATAAACACCCTTTTGGTGCAAACGTTCTCATAATTTTTCCTTCCACAATTGCTCAATTGGTTAAAAAATAAATTCTGAGATGATAGTGCTGCTGTGTACTTCCCCTTGGATAGCTCAACGTACTCTAAAAGGTGCAGCTGCTGTCTTTCATTTGCAAACGCTGGGGAGAGAACTATGAGGCAGAATGCCTTGTGTCATCATTCCCTGTTAGAAGTACTCGCAATTTATTTTCCCTTCTTCAAAATGCCCCTCTTGTAAATATACTTTCAACAGAGTCTGTGGCAGCCTGTATGTGGAGAAGGCAAGCAGGGGTAGGAGCACGTATGGTTGTACCAAGGGTTTTCACACAGAGAGAGAGAGAGAGAAAGAGAGAGAGCGCGCACTGGATTTGCTTGGGTATTCCAGTTGTGTAAGGAGACCAGACGAGGTGTACAGGGCTTTGCATACTGTGTGCAGAGTCATTTATACCACTGAAGGCTGCTGCAGAAGGTGCCTGGCTCGGAATGAATGTTTGATGCCGAGGTGTCGAGGGCTGCACGGGCAGCAGGGAACAGAGCCTGGGACAGGCTGGCAGTGGGTATGGGGCTGCCGGAGCCCCGCTCTCCCGGGGAGTCACCTGGCCCTTTGCAGAGGCTGTGGTCTGTCCTGATGCAAGGACAGTGCTCAGGCTAAGCCTTGCCAGAATGGCTGCGCACAAGGCCCCGGCGGTTCGGCAGCTTTCCCCATGGGAATATCCAGCACCCTTGGATCAGCTGCAGCCCACTGCGCTGGCTCTCTGCAAGCAACAGCCTTGTGTCTGTGGCCAAGTTGGGACTTAGGGATGCAAGGGCTGATTTTGCTGTCTTAAGAAATGGCTCAAGCTCTTCCTCTGCCAACAGGAGGGTGAGAAGATGGACAGACAGAAAACAAGTCTTTCAGCCCACCCCAGCTCTACCTGCTCTCCCCGTTATCAAGCAAAGCCAGTCCCAACTCACCAAATCATAGGTCTCTGATGAGTAGCTGACAGGCCCCATGGTTTCAGGAGCAGGATCTGTCTCTTCTACAGAAGTTTCAACAGAAGTTCTTTTTTGGGGTGGAGTTAGTAATTTGAGTAGGAAGGGACACAGCATGTAACAATAGACTATTTGCAAGGCAAATGAGCTCCAGGCATAGTGACCTGATTGATGTAAAGATTAGCATCTAGCTTTATCATCTTTTTACTAGTACTGTAAGTTGATTTTTAAAGTACAGTTTGAAGAATCCACATTCCTTTGTTCTGTACCAGAGAAGATTCAGAACATCCTTACAGCTTCCCTGGAAACCTCCAGGGCTGTTGCCCATGGCTGTCCTTGTGCCAGGTGGTCTGAATGGCTTTGGAAAGTTCTATGCCAAGGAACACAGCAGAAACCTCCTGGATCCAGGCAGGATCTCTGGATACTCCTGGATCTCTGGAGCCATGCAGGACTTCAAAGACACCTGGAGGTGAAATGCATAGGTATAGTCTATATGACCATCACCCTCTGCCTCGAGGTCCTTCTGGCTGCTTTAACCCCAGTGGCTTGTGGTTGTCTTCTGCTTCTCCTGCTGCTTTGCCCCTCGTCTGGGCTTGCGGGAGCGTGAGGTGGCTTGCGCAGGAGGGGCTGGGCAGCTGCATGACAGCAGCAAAGCCCCTTGATTTCACAAGGTAGTAAAGGATAATAAAAATGGGAATCAAGATTTTCTCTGCTCAAGGAAATGTGTGTTTTGTTCACTGATGTTACAGCAGTAGATTCATGGTGATAAAGCCCCAGTCTGAGTCAGCAGAGCAGGATGGCATTGCAGCTGGCATTTTGGCAGGAAGCTTTTCCTCTGTGAAGAGCTGAAGTAGTTCCACAAGCACAGTGTTTGTCCTCCTCTTTTCTGGGCACAGCTGCACCAAGGCCTCTGTACCAGCAAGAGTGGGACTTGGTCTACTGAAGGAGGAGGTGGTGTTATTCAGGTGAGCACTGTTTGATTTCATTCACTCCTCCAGACTTCCAGTGGGGCTGAGGGCAGACACGGCCCCACCAGCCCCGGGTGTGCCTTTGGCTGCTGGGGGTGGATAAACAACCACCCCGAGACAGCTGTAGATGTGAGGAACGAGATAAAAGCAGCCATGTCAGGGTAAATGAACTTCTCTCCCTGTCTTTTTGTGCCTATTTTGGAAAACATTTGAACAAAAATTTGTCGGCAAAGCAGTCTTGGAATTACCAGCATTTTTAGGCTACTGTTTTTAAGATCACGTTTCCATTGTGGTCCGGTTTGTCAAAATCTGTGTGTAAGGAACAGCCAGCCGTCTGAAAGGGAATGGCAATTCCCAGACCTGCCGCGGTCGGAGGTTACAGCTCCTGCCCGCTGAGGGTCAGCCTTTTGTTCCTACATTTGTTTTCGCTGTGTTTTAATGACTACAGAGCGAAGCCACGCTAACTTTCCAAGCCTTTTCTTCAGAAACAGCAGAACAGACTGACCAGCCTGGATGAGGGACCGGGATGAGGGACGGGCGGGGCCAGCGCTGTCACGTGGCGCGCAGTGCACGCCGAATGTACGTAGGTACGCACGTACGCCTGTGCGTGATGCGTGCGGGGCGGGGCGGCTCCTCCCGGCGGGAGGGGGAGGGCGCACGGGAGGAAGGAGGAAGCCGCCATCTTGGAGCGTCGAGTCGCCATAACAAGGCACCGGGGCAGCGAGAGGATTTTATACCTGGGCGAGGGGGAGCGCGGCTGGTGGCGGTGAGGACGGGCCGGGGCGCCGAGGCGGGCGCGGCTCCTCGGGAGCGTGGCGGCAGGGGCCGGCGCCGGCGGGCCGGGCCTCGCGGCCTGCGGCGGGAGCGCTGGGCCTGAGCGGGGCCTGGCGGGGCGGCGGGCAGGGCGGGGATGGCCGGGCCGGGGCGCAGCGGGAGCGGCGGGGCCGGGGTCCCGCGCGGGGCGGGGTCGGGCCGGGCGACGGGTGACGGGCTCTCCATTGTTCTGGGCGGGCGGGATGTGCCGGTGTGGCGCAGCTGCGACCCGCGGGCGGCGCCGGGCCCGCCGCTCGGCCCCGCGGCTCTGCAGTACGGCCCGGCCTCACCGCGCACATCGGGCGTCGCGGGGGCTCCCTTTGTGCCGGGCCGAGGGGAAGGGGAAGGTCCGGAACGGCTTCCCTGGTCGCCTACCCGCGTCCGGGGGGCACAGATGGGCTGCGAGGGCCCTTTTCCCTTCGGGCCGCCAGTCTGCGAGATGGTGGCGCCTCTTGTCTCGGAACGGGGGGATTTGTTGGGTTCGGTGAGGCTGAGTGTTGTTTTTAACCTCTGTCCTCCTAAAGGGTAGTTACGGGGGGGGGGGGAATGGGGAATGAGGGGCGGGAATGGGGAATGAGGGGCTGAGAGGTTTCATTTCCTGCAATGTTGGAGAACTCCTCGGCGTTGGTATCCCGGGACTCTCTGGCGGCTCCGGTTACCTTCGTGGCTCATCTCATCTGTTTTTTACAAAGTTAATGGCTAGGAGAAATCTGTCTTCAAAGATGAGAGATAACTAGCAGAAAAATCCTGGTTCTGCGAACTTTAAAGTTATGCTGTGGACGCATTTGGAAACAGCAGGGAAGTCTGGGAAGAGTCTGAATTCCTTTTTTGCTCTCTTGAAATTATTTTATTCACTGAGGAAGCACATTTTGTTGTGAACGCCGAGGTTAGGAAGCAGTAATCTGCTGGTTTTTCCTTTGCATTTTCCCAAGATAAAAGGTGCCTTGTGATGAGAAAGAGCAGGCAAGCCTACTTTCTGTTCCAAAAGATTTTGTACTGGGAATGTTTTGTCTCCGTGATACCACAGTAAGGAGTCTTTCAGCCGGTCTGTGCTTACTTTCTGTAAGGGGCAGACTTTGTGTTGTCTCTCCGTGGTTTTGCCAACCTTTCTGTTACATATGGAATCAATATTAAGTCGTGTACCAAATGTTATTTTTTGAGCACAACATAAGTTGTTGGTGACTGCTGGAAGGTAAGGTCACGTGGAACGCATGAGCAGGAAGCTGGGTACCCAGTATACATGTGTGTTACTCGCTGCCTCAGTTCAGGCTCAGTCTCTTGGACTCTCAGAGGCACCTGCTCAGTTCAGTGTGATGGTATTCATGTTGCTGCTCTGAACGGCTCTAAATCAATGCCCAGCTCAAAACTGTGAGTAAGCTGGGTTGAGCTAACATTTTGGGTTGGAGGAGGGTAAGCTGTTGTTTTGGGTTTATGTAATTTCTATTTCCCTTTCAAGTTGAAAAGGGCAATCAGAGTAACTTAAGGGTTTTGTCAGTTCTTACTGGAATGTCCATTTGATATTGTCATCTTGCTTCCTGTCATAAACTTGTTCGTGACATTATTGCTCAGCATTTTAGGGCTGCTTTGCTGCATCTCAGAAGTGGGGGAACTTGAAAAGCTGTCAAAGTAGTTGATAAAATTCATGGTTACTTTCCGGGAGGGGGCAGGTAGTGTTCCTCCGAGGAATGCTGCTGAAAGCACAGCTCTTTGGGAGGGTTTTTTTGGTGACTAAAGAAGGTAGGCACAGCTTTATAGAAAGGGGAGAAAAGTTTGATGCACGTTGTGATAGTTATCACTGAGGAAACAGAAAAGCAAGTATTCTTGTTGCACGCTGCCTTGGAAAAAGTGACTCTTAAAATACGAAAGTAGACTGATGTGATTTGTGTGGCCAAAAACCCACATACTAATTGTTATTGTCTGCTTCTCTTTCAGATTGAAGCAAGTGAATTCTGACATAACTTCGTTAGAGGGCTTTTTTTAAAAAAAAGTTGATCCACAGTGCATCAGAGCAAGTTACTGCTTTACTTTTGAGTGACTTACAGGTGCTTGCCTGCATTGCAATAAAGGACTCATATATTGAGCAAGACTTATTTATCTCTTCGTTTTGGAGAGTCTAATAAACTGTTATTACAGTTTCTGTACTGACTTTCAAAGTTTTGAGTCTAAAAAGACATCTTTAAAGATAAAACCATGAGCACGGCCAGAACAGAGAACCCTGTTATAATGGGTCTATCCAGTCAGAATGGGCAGTTGAGAGGCCCCGTAAAACCCAGCGGGGGCCCAGGAGGTGGAGGCACACAAACTCAGCAGCAGATGAACCAGCTGAAAAACGCCAACACAATCAATAATGGCACTCAACAGCAAGCACAGAGTATGACCACCGCTATTAAGTAAGTGATTGTATTGGCTGCCACAAAAGGAATGTTTAAAAGTCACGTATTGGAAAGTTTTGGGGTTCCCATTTGAAAATGTTGTCTGCTGTTGTTTTATGACATGGGCAGGTAGATGTGTCCTGTGATGTACATTATAAAAAAAAAGATGTATTTCCATGTGTGAGCTCCTCTCCAGCAGTGATTGCTTTGGTGTGTTCCTTGTGAAAATGGAATTTGATGCTGTGCTTTTCCGAGTGTGAACTGCTGTCAGAAGCAGCCCACTGAGCATCAGAGTCCTGTGCCCTTTGCTTGTTGCAAGTGGTGCAAGAGGGAAGTTGGGGAGTGGGAAGGAACAGAACTGAAATTAAAGACAGAGAAGGAAATGCCACCTGGTCTCAGTCCAGCTGTGTATACTTTTTGGTTTGTTACAGTTCTTTCTCACAATGAGAAATGCTTTAAAGTCAGTTATCTTTTGTCGTTGATCTGAAATAGTAGTGCCTGCTGTCCTCAGTGTAATGCTCTGGCTTTAATTCATCAAAGCCTTAGCTGAGAGGATATGGTCTCCCTGTGATACCCTGCTCCCATCCAGCTGGTTTTGGAAGTGTGCTAATAAAACATGAGTGTGCTGGTTGGAATTTCTGACAGATGTAAAAGACTTGGACAGTACGGTAACGTGTTGCTTTTCTCTTTCCCCTGTTGTTCCTGCTCCCCCTGAACAGCATTGGCTTTTATTTTGTTAATTATTTGCAAAGGAAGTGCCAACTTCCTCAGAGAGTGCGCGATGGAACACTTGGCCCCCCCCCTTTTTTTTGTGTATTACATGGGTTACACTGAAACTGGTGAATTAAACTCATGACTTCGTGGGAGTGTGGAAGAGAAGGACTTGCTCTCATCTGTACAGTGCCTTTCAAGAGAGGATGGGTGTCTAAATCTCACTGAGAAAAAAAGACTTTTGATCAACCAGTGCAGTGTTTTTTACATTTTGCAGTGTTTCTCACATTACTTGGGGATTAAGAATGGATGTTCCCTGGGCAAGAGAATTTTTCTTTTAAGTGGTGAAATACTCTCAGGTGGATTTATTATAGCTGGTTTCTGTTGTATGACTAAGTCAGTGCTCAGTTTTAAATCTGTTCTAGTGGATTGATTCAGTGCCCTAAAAGTGGGACTTGAATCATGACTGGCTAAATATTTCACAAATGTCTTTGGCAGACTGCTGATTTTCTCTGTTTCCAGTTTCCTGCCTGTTATATTCTGCTTAACTCAGAGAAAACTTGAGCTCATATGTGTAGGTGCTTTTAACTTTGAGGAGGTTAAAGTATTACGTGTTCATCACTGTATCTTAGAAAATAAAATGCAAAATCAGAATATTAATCCAGACATATTTTATAATTTATTGTTATTTTATTTTTGCTATAGACCTGGTGATGACTGGAAGAAGACTTTAAAACTCCCTCCAAAAGATTTGAGAATCAAAACTTCGGTAAGGATGGTTGAATTGTAGGAATAAATATTAAATAAAAGATAGAAGTTGCGGTGGCAAAATATTTGTTCTGAGCAAAGGTTAAAAATCAGTTCAGTTCCTGCTTTTTTAAATGAAGAATTAATTTACTCTCCAGCTGCTTGGGAGTGATCCTTTCTGGGAAAGCTTCAAAATGGAGTTCACTGTGGATTTCTTACTTTATTAGTGTTACAGCAGGGACTGATGGTCTTTGTGTTGTGTGAGGCAGGTGGGAAGGTGTCACTGTAATCACAGAGCTGTGTTTGGCTCTGAGAAAGCAAATGTTTCCTCTGCCGCTGTAGGGTGTTGCATGGAGTAGTGGAAACTCCTGTATAGTAATTTGTGGTCTTCCTGCACAGGCAGTCTCAGACCAATCAAAAACAGCTGCAGGTTGTCTGACCTAATCTTATGGATGTGCTTTTTTTGATTATTCAGGACGTGACCTCCACAAAAGGAAACGAGTTTGAAGATTACTGTTTGAAACGGGAGTTGCTGATGGGAATTTTTGAAATGGGCTGGGAAAAACCATCTCCTATTCAGGTTGTTTGCAAACAAACTGCTTAGAAGCCATGTTTAACTTTGCCTGTATGTCCAATACTTATGTCATGGTTTGGGAAAACTGGGGCTGTGAACAGTGGAACATGGTGGGAAGTTCTTCCTTTGGAGAAGGCAAGAATTTCTCACCCCAAACTAAGTCACTAAGTCATGCGATGGGTGGCTTAGTGATGGGACTGACTTACACTTTGGAGAAGTTAATTTGGATTTTCCTTTTCATGCTGGAGGTCTTAATTTGTTATTTGTCTGTTCAGTAACATCCTTCGCATAAGTAGTCCCAGTGAGAACAGAGCTGTTCTGTAAATTTTCCAGAAAACTGAGTTACCATAGGCTGCGTACCTTTAGTTGTTACAGAGACAATTATGGCTTTATTGCAGTCTTGGCTCTTTTTATTGTAAGCATCTGGAAGAAGCGTAATGCAGATTGTGGGAGAGAGATTAATATCTTAGCAAGTTCACTTTTCTGTCTCCCCATCTCCCTTTTACTTCTAAGGCTTGTTCTGTTAAGTACCGTTGGTGTGTAAACTTCGCGGGACGGGGAGGAGGGAAGTTGAACTCTCTTTTAATTGGTCTTTGAAGGTTTATCATTGACACAGCTCTGCTGCCTTATCTCCTTAAGGCATGAGGAAGCTATGGCGTTTAGGTGATTGATCTGCTTTAAAACAGGTTCTCATGATGCACCTTTCTAAAAGGCTGAGATTTCTTTAGATGTTGCTGTAAAAGGCAGTAAAGTTAAAAATACATGGGCCTTGTGTTTGGATGGCTGAAGTTTGAAGTTTCAAAAGGAAAGCCTGCTGATTTTATGAGAATTGTGTCACAGGAATGTGCAGGTTTGAATCACATGGGCTGTGTTTGTTCTGATGTTAAGGTATAGGTGGGAATCTTTTTCCATAGGAGGAGTTTGCTAGTGACTGTCATTGTCTCTTCACTTCCCCTCCCCCCCACCCCCCAATTTTTCACTTTTTTCCTAATGTGTCAGTATGGCTTTACTATCACCTGTGGTACCCAATCTTATGATCAGACAATATAAGGAATTCTAAGTGGGATATGTTGGGGAACTCTTTATTGATGGGTTTAACTTCTTCCTGTTGTGAGTCTGCCATGCTTGTAGTTGCAGGATAGTAGTAATAATAATAATCATGATCATGAAAAAATCAGGTTTCATGTGATACTGTTAGTGAAGGGAGTTTAATTTGGTCAGCCTCTTCAGTGAGCATGGCTTGTGATTGATTGCTCGTGTGCTGTCTGTTCTTGCATTTCAGGAGGAGAGCATCCCCATTGCTTTATCTGGTAGGGATATCTTGGCTAGAGCGAAAAATGGAACAGGCAAGAGTGGAGCCTACCTCATTCCTTTACTTGAACGGCTAGACTTAAAGAAGGACAATATACAAGGTCAGTTGAGGTGGATTTCATGTAGCTGCAGCCAGGTAATGGTGTCAGTCGCTACATAACAGACTTGAATCTAAAACTAGTTAATGAAACTGGGCAGCATGGGTTATCTGCTTGTACTTCCAGAGAAAGTTAATGGGGAGTGGTGGAGGGGAGGTGGAATTTGAAAAGTCCCGCAGTTGCTTTCAAAAGCTTTAAATGGAAGACATCTTCTGGACTTGACTGTCTTGCCCCTGGAAAGTGGATGTGAAGTAACAAGCGAGTGTGCTGGCTGGGGGACTCAGCAAGGGGAGCATCAAAGAAGGGAGAACCCTTGCACAGAATTTGCCTTGTCATAAGCAGTTCCTGGGCTGCTCAGGATATCTAGAGTGGAACTCCAAAACCATAGAAGTACCTCTTTCATGAAGTCTGTCTCCTCTGAGGATGAGTATTTAAGATACAGAGTGTTATTAGTAACTCACACTGATGTTTTTAACTTTCAGCAATGGTGATTGTTCCCACCCGTGAACTAGCCCTGCAGGTCAGTCAAATCTGTATCCAAGTCAGCAAACACATGGGAGGTGCCAAAGTGATGGCAACCACAGGAGGAACCAATTTGCGAGATGATATAATGAGACTTGATGATACAGGTCAGAGCACTTTTGGTACACTACAGTTGCTGTTTGTTTGTGCCTTTTACAGTGTGGTAGTGGAATTTCTGCTTATTACTGTTTGCCTGTTACAGAACAGATTTCAATATGTCTTGTTTGCTGTTGGTATACAGTCATCATTCTTTCAAACTGTTCATATGAAACATGGCCATGAATGCCAGAAACATTATTTTAGTTGGCTTAACTATTTTTTTTGCTCTTCTAATCTTACAGTGCATGTGGTGATAGCTACCCCTGGGAGAATTCTCGATCTCATCAAGAAAGGAGTAGCAAAAGTTGAGCATGTCCAGATGATAGTATTGGATGAGGCAAGTTGCTCATGTTAAATGTTCTGGGATTTTAACACCAAGTTAAAGCAATTACGTGTTTCAGTGAGTCTCCTTTCTATGCACAGCAACAAATCAAACTTTGCTTAGAGACACTATAAGGTTATAGCTCATCCATTTCCCAGTATTTTTGACAAAGTATTTTGGAGGAGGATTTTTCTGCATGTGACTCTTAAGAAAACAGCCTAGGAAGATTTGCCTTTCCTGTCTTCTTTGCTGATGCTGAAGATTAGAGTAACAAATCTAGCCCGAAACTTAAGAAATGCATTTCATTTGATTTCCTTTTATAATGAGTGAGCTGTGCTTACCACATAATTGTGTATAAAATTGATTTATGTACATCCAGTAGTGTACAGGTTTCTCAGTGAGAGAAAATGTAGTTGTGTGAAAGTTCTTGAATGACTCTGGTAGGAACCCTGGTGACTGGTTTTTCCTTCCCCCAAATGTGATGCTACCAGGAGACTGAAATATTTTTTTTATTTTAACTTATGCTTTATTACTTCTGTTGTTACAGGCAGATAAGTTGCTGTCTCAAGATTTTGTTCAAATAATGGAAGATATTATTCTCACGCTACCTAAAAACAGACAGATTTTGCTCTACTCTGCCACTTTCCCTTTGAGTGTACAGAAGTTCATGGTGAGTGCAGAGATACCGTGTAGGTGTGATGGTGGTGACATTGTGTGAGTGGTACACAACTGTTAGTGCTTGGGTTTTTTTAGTGCATCTAAACTTCACAGGTTTAATCTAAATCAGCCCAAGTCTTGGACAGAAGTTTGAAAAGGATTTTTGACCTGCAATAGCATTAATGGGAAGCTATGTACATGCACTTCTTGCCCATAAGGTGATGTTTTCCACTTCGTGGATTGGTTATGTGTCATCTGCGTGCATTTTCTCCCAGAGGGTGCTCCTATTGGGCCTACTCAGTCGCCTTGGATTTATGACTAATCATTTGTGAAATTTTACCCACCCTGTCTGTTAGAGTATAGCACAAAGAGTGAGTGGTGAGGTAGTGCATCCTTGCCATGGAGTTAAGTGTGCCATAGGATGGGAAGTATTTACATTGTTTTGCATGTAAATCTATCATTATCTTTATTTTTCAGAATTCCCATTTGCAGAAACCCTACGAGATTAATCTGATGGAGGAGCTGACTTTGAAGGGAGTTACTCAGTACTATGCCTATGTCACTGAGCGTCAGAAAGTGCACTGCCTCAACACGCTCTTTTCCAGGGTAAGGAGTAGGGCTTCGTCAGAAACATACAGAAGCTTTTTTCGTTTCACAACTAAGAATAAGACTGAGTGTTTCAAGGGTGGCTTAACAAAACATTTTCTTTGTCAAAATGTGTTATGTAGCTGAAGATAAAAATCCATTCTTCTTGTCCTGCACCTTTATGTTACAGAATTTTGTTAATTTTTTTTTCCTCTGTACAAAAATACATCCTATGTAAATTACCAGCAGCATACTTGCCATGCTTTCTTTATGGTAGGGATTTAGATGTGTCTGGGGTCATTTGTTAGTAAGATGCTGCATTTACTGAGCACTCTACTTATATGTTCAGCTCCAGATTAACCAGTCGATCATTTTCTGCAACTCCTCTCAACGGGTTGAATTGCTAGCCAAAAAGATCTCCCAGCTTGGCTATTCCTGCTTCTATATACATGCTAAAATGAGGCAGGTGAGTATGAAGTCTGCAGTGGTTTATTCCACACCACCTCAAGTTTACTGCATAGCTGAATTAAGTCTTATGCTTTCTTTAATTTTGCATGTTCTTTGTAAACTGTAACATATATTGCTTTGCTATAGGTTTGTTTTTAGATGCCCACTGCCAACCTCCCTGCCATGTTCCCCCATCCCAGTCATCTTTCCAGACTGTTCAGTGTAGCTGGCCAGTTGGTATTTAAGTCTACTTCAGGTCAGGTTAATTTGTCCAGTGCAAGCACCGACTGCAGCCAGAAGGCACAGTTCTTTCTTAGTGCTGCTGCTGCCTTGCTTTGGCAGCATGGGAAGGCAAGGTAGGCCACACAGTGTAACTGACACAGGTGAAAACAGGCTTGATTTCAAACAAATGACAAAAACCCAATACTTAGCCCACCGAGTGCCATGTGTGTCTTGGCAAACAGAAATCTTGCACTGTGACTGCAGGGGAATCTGAGAAGTTGAGGAGGTGGCTTTGATGGAACCTCTTGGAGAAAGCTGCATCTGTTGTGTGGTAACCAGGCACTTGTGACCTTGATGTAGATGATGAAAAATGCTATTGCAGCTTTACTGGTGAAGAGGTTTCTGTTAATTGCATGGTAGCTCACATGTCCTCACAATACCTCACATGATATTAAAAGATGTCAAAAGGTTGAAATGATGAGTGTAGAACAGGAGTATTTTGAAACATTTTTTTTCATTTTATAATTAAGCTAAAACAAATTCAAATGAAAGCTTTCAGGGTAGTCTAGCTTGCTGCTCATGCAATTGACAGGTAATGCCAGTGTTTGGTGGGCCAGACCAGTAATTAATTAAGCAGAAACAGAAGTGGTGTTGGTATTGAGAACAGAGAGATATGCAAGCGGATTCCTTGAAGTTTGATTTTTGTATGCTTTTGATTAGTTGGTAGATGGTCTTTGTGGCAAAGTGCAGCTCTGTTTTTGCCAAATGCTTCAGCTTGTTTATTTCCTCTCTAAATTTCACTTCTTAACAGTGATATTACTTAATCTTTGTGTGAGGAGAGTCTTCACAGAAAATTGACTCATCCCACACCTAATTCTGCATCGGTAATGAAAAATGCTTCATACTAGAAAAGGAAGTTTACTGCAGAGTTCATTTTTTAAGGGAAGGGATAAAATGTGTTAAATTCAGCAAGGAACCAGGGAAAGGCAATAGTCAAAATACCAGTTTAACTTTCTTGGTGTGGGTTTCATGTAACTGTAACTTCAGACAGTCGTTTTCTGAGATGGCTCTGATGCCACTGTAGGAAGCTTTAAAATGCAGTCAGTTAAGTGCCTTTGTTAAAAAGTGGGATCAAGGCCCTCTTGGCTAAGTTCTTTAGAACACGTGGTAAGGAGCGCTAAAAAAATATGTACTGGCAGCTTGTTTCGACTCAGCTGTTTTCTAATGAGAACTGGGAGAAATTCACATGATTGAAGTTTGGTGTTTGTTATGTGAATATACCTGGTTGGTTGGTTTGTGGGTTTTGGTTTTTTTTCCTCTCTGTTTATATGTGTGTATTTCCAGGAGCACCGCAATCGTGTATTCCACGATTTTCGGAATGGCTTGTGCCGCAATCTCGTTTGCACTGGTAAGAGCTGCTCAAGGTTTTCCCATTTCTAAAAGATGTAGTAGAAAGTGCATTGGCCCAGATATAATAGACCAATTATTTGTAATAAACCAAAACAAGGTGTTTTGGTACATGTCTTTGTTAAGCCTGCATGTAGCAGGACGCAACACTCCTTTGGACACGTGGAGTTTTGTCTTTTGTGACAAACTGAAAGTGCACCTTTGCCAACAAATCATTTCACTGCGATAGTGTTTTCTGTTTATTTTCACATGCAAGGGCTCCCTGAGATGTTGGGCCATAAACTTTATGAAATATCAGTAGAACTCTGACTAGGAGGATCATGTGAATAAATTTTGTTGATTCTTTAGGTGCTCATAGCTCATTTTTTTCTAAATACTTTTGTGATTTTGATTGGCCTGTGTATGATCCAAGTTCTCTATTTTTATGGCCTGTTTGGGCAGTACCCGGCAGTGTCTGCTATCAGTGGATCATCTTAACAAGTCACTGCTATGTCTGGATCGTCTTAACAAAAATCACTGGAAATGGAATAGAAGTAGTTGAGGTAGTGGAATGTAGTTGAGGTCTCAGGTCTGTTGTGACTTTGGCAGCACGCAGTCCTGTGTGAGAAGATGCTTGTTTAAGAAGACCTGTGCTGAAATAGTCTAATGTGGAAAAAACTAGCTTAATGTGCAGATCTGGTGGTTTTGATAATTTTTCTTATATTATTCGTGTGGATACAGAGCAAGAAGCAGTAACAGGATTGTATGTAAACTGTCTTTGATACAAAGAAAGCTTATATCTGGAAAATGGTGTGAGGCAAAGTTAATCACTGTTAATCTTTGCACCCTAAATACTGTCAGGATTTGATCTCATTGAAATAAACTTTCTTTGTGACCTGGATTGTCTTTCAGATCTGTTTACCCGAGGTATTGATATCCAGGCTGTGAATGTGGTGATAAACTTTGATTTCCCAAAGCTGGCAGAGACTTATCTCCATCGCATTGGCAGATCAGGTGAGAGGAAAGATGTGTTTTAGGTGCAACTTTGCTGATGACTATGATGCTTCTTAGCCTTGAATTCCCTTTTGGTTTTTATTACTGTATCTGAGAATTACCTTAGATAGCTTTAATTTTTCTGACAAATTTATTTTTGAGTATCACCTCAGATGGTTATCCTCACTGAGGATTTTATCTAAATAAAGGCCCATTCTCTTGAAACTGACCTGACTGACAAATGAGAAATAAAGGCTTATTTTGATTTTATCTCGGGAGACTTACTATTGCCCCTGTTTGCAGGGAAAATTCTATACTGAAAACTTAGCTTCCAGGGTATCTCAAGCATAGACATCTGTGCTTTCTTCTCCATGTATTCTGAGGTATGTTTCTGCTGACTGGACATCAGCAAAATAAACCCCTAAGGAAGGCAGTAAACGAACTCAGTATACTTGAACTTTGTAGTTCAACCTTGCTCAAAAACTCTGTTATTGAAGAAGGGTTGGATGTACATAATGCAGGAGTGGAAGACTTTTCTCTGATAATTAACCTGGAGCTTTGGTCAGAGCGTATTGAACCTCCTGAGTTTTCTTATTCCTGCAACAGTATGAAACTCCTCACCAAAAACTGATGTGAAACATGTAGAAACCTGCAGCTGGATTTGTTTTTACCATCAGAGAGCAATGTTAACTTCACAGTCTGTAGACTTTTTCATTCAGCCCTCTGTTACTCAGTTCAGTTCAGATGTGTGTTTCTTTTTTTTTTTTTTTGTCAAGGTCGCTTTGGTCATCTTGGCCTGGCCATCAACTTGATCACCTATGATGATCGATTCAACCTGAAAAGTATTGAGGAGCAGTTGGGAACTGAAATTAAACCCATACCAAGCAACATTGACAAGAGCCTGTATGTGGCAGAATACCACAGTGAACCTGTAGAAGATGAGAAACAGTAAACATGTATGTTTGTAAGTGCCTCCTGAATACCAACATTGTGTGGGATGAAAGGAGAGTTGATATGTCAGTATTAGCTCAGGGGAAGAGGGAAACTGATGTGATGAAAAGGCTCTGAATGTGAAAACAAGGGTTTGAAATAGACTGTCAGTGCAAGGAATTCCTGTGGACATGCTAAGCTGGGAGGGGAGGAGGAGTATTTTTTAGTTGTTTTAATTTAAATGCTGACCATATGCTAAGGAGACCAAAAGTGGGGGAAGGGGGAGGGGGGAATGCTGTTGGGAGAGGCCATGATGGGGTACTAGTAGCCTAAGGAATTCTTTCTGTATTGCTTAGCTAAAATGAGAAATTGGTGAGGGACAGAGAGGAAAGTGGTCCTCAGAAAGGTGAGGAGAGAAAATGGATAGCTGTGAGAACAGAGCACCAACAGAAGAGCTAAGCACCTCACCAGTCAGACGGAGCAGGTTCCAGCGAAAGGTGCTGCCTCTTTTGTATCCTTTGGTTCACAGAACTCCTGCAAGTGAACAAAGTAGGGAGAGAAGCTGTAATTCATATTTGCTGCCACACGAGGTCGTCTACATAGTTTTAAAAGAAAATGAGGTTGCACTGTTGGAGACTCCTAAGTGCTCCCTTTCTGATCGTTGTCCGAGAAAAAGCTGCTGAGTCGAGTCCTTTTATAAGAAGACTACTTGCCCTGGACTGCAGTCAAGCAAAGTAGCTGCAGGATGACGTTTGATCTGGCCTTAGTTAAGATGCTGTGTTGTGCAAGATCCAACACCGTACAGTTTGGGCTGGAAATCATTCTTTTGTGTGTTCTTCTCAGAGATCATGAATTAGAAAGTGAAGCTGCTGAAATTTGCCTCAGGTGACCAATAAAAAAAAAAAGTGACCATAGAAGCAGACTGCTTGATAGTGTTAGAATGAACTGTGGTTCCTTCTTTGAAATCATCCAGGGACAGCCTTAGCCAGTCATGCCAAGCTGACTTGCAAGCCTCTGCTTTGCTGGTTGAACCTCCTCCAAGTTTATAAGTAAATAAAAAAAGGAAACAAGTGATGAACTTGGAACAGGCTCTTGGGTGGCTTCTTTAAGGGGAATACTCTGACCTTGCCAGAGAACAGTTTGCTGCTTCCTAAAAGGCAAGAAACCAGGAGATAATTGTGCTCCTAAGTACAGTAGAGCATTAGCAGCACCTCTTTCTACAAAGCTGAGGCTGAGGTTGAGCTGTTCAACATGCCCTTTGCTTTTCCAGAGCTGGTGCATAGTCAGTGTGAATTATCTCTTACGTTCTAGTTTTGCATAGAACCGATTTAACTGTGGGTGTTGTGGTTGTGTTTTTTTGTGTTTTGTTTTTTTTTTTTATAGGCTTTGATTACACATACCAGAAGGTGAAGCCCTATGATCCAGATCTGTGACACATCGTTTCTTTGGGGATACCCTTCTCTTTGTGGGTTTTTCTTCGTCTTTTCATTTTGAAACTATGAAGACTAAAGAGCTCGGCCTTTTTTTATTTTTAAATTTGGCAGCAAGGAAGAAAGAAGATAAAAGGAGGAATGTCTTTTTGTTTTTCCACTTGTTTGCACTGTGTGCTGATTGAACATTAGTTGCACTAACTGCTGGTTTTAAATTTTGTTTTCTTTGGGTGGGAGGGGCAGCAAGGGAAGAAGAGAAACCCTGAAAAGAGAAGAATCTTGATGAACGCGAGCTTGTCTGCTATTTCAAATTCTTTAACCATCGACTGAGTGCATTTCAACTTCTCCCTGGTTACTCATCTGTTTTTTAAGCTAAAGAGCTTGTTACTTATTCGTGCAAAGTGCCTTATGCTATGAGACCATTCAGAATATCACCTTTCCAACACAGCCCAAGGAATCAACAGCTGTTTTTGGTTTCAGGTCAAAGTTCCCCTCTCTTCCCCTTCTCCTCCTTCCCAAGTACTCAAGCCCAGGGCTGGGAGGTGAAATGTATTGGTAATACTACTTTTCTCTTCAACTTTTTTTTTTTTAACTGGAGGAGTTGATATGCATCTGCAGTTCACCCAAACTGTAAATATCTGTATTTAAAATGAAACCAACTTAAAATCTGGGCTGATTAGGTGCAGCATCATAGCTCCAGAAGGAAAGAGTAGCCTGTCATCCTTTGCAGGAGCCATAAGAAAAGCCCTGTGCTCTAGCAGAACACTAAAAGACTGGTTTCCATAAGAGTCTCCATTCGTAGTTACAGCACTTGATATGTAGACTTGTTTCAGAGCCATGGCCCTCTTTCCTCTGGTGCAGTGTGTCCCATAGAAAATCAGATGTG